TTATTATCAGACAGTTCACAATGTACAAACTGATCCCCACTGCTATGTCTTCTGATGTTGAATTCCCAGTTCCTTCACATTACCCAAATCCTCCCATTAGGGTGCTTATCATAGTTATCTATCCAGCTCCAGTTGTTGCCAAACGTTTGTCTAATTTTGGCTGCATTATCACACTTCACCTTAGTTCCAAGAGAGCAATGCAAGGCAGCTGAAGAGTATTGAGATGGGCCTTAATCTCAATATGCCTTGCCCTTTTATTGAGGCCCCTCACATTCCAGGAGAGAATCATGTTACATCTCTAATTTTGTCCTCCTCCATACCAAGGATTCCAAAACCATTACTGCAACCAATACCACCAAAACCAGTCTGATTTTTATCTCTGCCATGGGAGTAAGCATTCCTTCCATTTGCGCCAATTCTGGCTCTTCCAGCAGTAGGGGCCACTGTCCTCCAGTCCTGCTCAGCACCCAATTCACTGAACACCAAGGGCACTGCCGTATCAGCATCCTGTTTACCTTTCTCATCCTCCCTGTTACTATCCACTTCAGCAGCAGGGTCTTTCACAGTCCATTTCTGAATAGGTTTAGTAATTATTCTTTGTTTGTCACAATTATGTCCCAGCTTGTTGCACTTCTTGCAAAACACTGGTTTCCATTCGTATTCCACCCTCTGCACACGCTTCCTTCCTTGCGGATCTCTGATATTTAACGAATCCCTTAGTTCAGTGGTTATGTCCACCTCAATGAGAACTCTAGCGTAGGTAATCCTCAGCTTCTTTGCTGTACATTCATTCGTCATGATCGGTTTCCCAATAGCGCTCGCCACTTTACCAATGCTCTTCTCACCCCAATAGATTAGTGGGAGTTGGGGGAACGTGATCCAGATTGGCACTACACGTACAACATCTCTGTCCAGAGAAAATAATGGCCGCCATTCTAATAGAAACATAGGTTGTCTGAAGATAGTATATGGGCCATTCCTCAATACAAGCTCCTTATCCTCTTTAGATTTCAACTTGATTATAAAATACCCCTCTTCATTATAGAATAGGTCAGGCAAAGCTGCGAAGTCCCAAGTTTGCATCATGTACTTCTTTACTGCGGTCATGGTCAGATCGCGCCCTAGCACATACATAATCAAAGCATTCTCCCAAAACTTCACCTCTGAAGCAATGTCTTCATCCTCAATAACTACTTCAATTTCCCCCTCAACAATGGAAGGGGGTGAGTACTCAATATTCAGCTCGTTAGAGGAAGAACGATTACCTCTGATCACGTCCACCCAGGGTTGCGGCGGGTCTAAGTGGGTCTCCTCTTGTTCCTCTATCTCTGCCTCAGGAATCGAATCTAAGACTGTTTCAACTAACCCAGAATCATTAGACTTCAGTGGGGTGAAAGAGACGGTGGTACCCTTCCCGTGAGACTGCGTTGCTGGCGAGAATACTCTAACGCTCGCCAGAGGCGTTTGAGCCACTTGTTTCTGCGGTGGCCGTCCACGCTTACCCATTCCCAAATCGCCGTCACCTTTATTTTTTATTTATTTTTATATTATGATAGTTTATATTTAATTATTTTTATATTATAAATTTAATATTTTAATAGCCTAATAATAATAAAATTTGTTTTTTATTTATTTGTTTATATAATTTATTATTTAAATAATTTGTATCTTTAAAACGCGCTTATAATTTATCGTTAAAATTAATTAAAAGTGACTCTTCATCACTAAGGGTAGAAAGACCCATCATCTTTTATTTTACAAAACTAAAATAATTTTGTTAACTTAAACGTTGTTAGAGAGTTTAAACGAAAAGAAATGAAAGGATTATGAAAAAAGAGAATGACGGTTTGAATGAGAGGACTTAGATAGAGAGAATTTTTAAAGATTTAATTTTATAATACAAAAGTTTTAGTGTTATTCATAATATATTGATATAAAAAAAAAAATTGTTGAGGAAACTCTTAGTTTGAGAGAACTCAAAAATTGTACGAGTTTAAGGATTCCAAAGAGCTTACAAAATTCAAAAAGAAATTACCCATTTTACAAAAAGAAACTAATTCTAAAAATTAAAATTGAAACCCATAATTATACATTCAAACAAGTTTAATCAAAATTATGCAAACAATATGAATTAATAAGAATTGATTCAATCAAGCTCACTTCTTCTCAACTCAATCAAGCTCTTTTATACTCAATTCTATCAAATCACTTCTCACCTCTCACCGCATAACCAAAACCAAACAGACGCTAAGGAGCATTAGGTGAGAGGATTTCTTGTTTCATTTAAATTTTTTTTAATGTACCACACAAAATTTTAAAAAGACTTTTGAAAATTAAAAATATATTTTTGGTTCACATCTTCTTATATATATAATTCATTTGTTTTTGAAATTCACATCATTTTACAATAAAATTGATATAAAAAATACACTTTCAATATAAACCAAAAATATACTTCCGATACTACTACCATAAGTCTAATCCTTAGTTTTATCTTCACAATAATGTTGTTTGAGTGGATTTAAGAAATTTCTTTTTCATAAAATTTCCTTTTTTCAACTTTTGCCTTTTTAATTCACAAGCTCGTGCAATATTGCCACTTAGATCCAATTCAATGCTGGCAAGTGTTGCTTGCTGCTTAGTTTCAATTCAAGGCTGTCATGCAATAATATGCAATAATGGGTGGAAGATGGAGCAGGTTTAGAACAAAATAAACTGGATTTTTATACAGAACCAATCATCTTTTATACAGAACCAACCATCTTTATATAAGAATCGGAAATATCCTTTCAATTTATATCGGAAGTACATTTTCGATTTTACATAAATATAACTTTAAAAAAATGTCCGTCGAAAATATACTTCTAATTTAGAGAGATAATTTCAGAATTACAAAAGATCTTTTTCTTTTGGACAATCTTTTTCTTTTGGACATGGTGAAATAAGAAATTCCTCTGTGATGAAAGTTTTAATGCAACCCTTGGCAAAATTCTATTGTCATAAAACTCCATGGGAAGAACATTTAGTTATAATGTTATGAAAGAAAGGCTTAGAAATATGGATATGCTAGTCCGAGGGTTTGATGTTATGGATGTAGAATATTGCTTTTACATTAGTGGTGTGCAAAAAAACTGGTTACTGATAACCAAATTCATATCTAAATTGTTCCATTTATTAAAATCCAATCCAAATATTAAATATTGGATTTGGTGGTCTATCTATGTTCAAAGTGGTAAATCGATACCCATAAAATGGTTATTGGGTGTCCAAATTTCTTTCTCATCAAATTTTTCTCCTTTTCAATTTTCACACTTTCTCAAGAAAATAAACTATACACATTTTCATAAAAATTCAATGATGTTTAACACTTTATTTCAAATGACTAATTATTAAATAAATATAAAAATGTTTAATTATAGTTAAAAAATATGCAAACACTTTCAAATAAATTGAAAGATATAGTATACTAAAACATTTAAAAAGCAAGATATATTATTATCACTATAGAAGACAAATTTAAATTTGAAAGAAATTTGTTTGAATTTGATTCCTTTTCATTCAATATACATATACTTCATATAAGAAAACGAATGTGCACAGTGAATTAATTAATACTATCTCAGTATTAATTGATTTTTCTTTTAGGATTGATAAAACAAAAAGGATTATTTAAACATAAAATTTTTTTAAAAAATGCTTTGTGACCGTGAGAACGACTGCGACAAAATGTTTTAGACATATGTCGATATCGATACTGTTATATCCGTTTTATCTTTAAAAAAAAAATTATAATTAATAATTTACACTGCAACGAACACAATCAATATCGTGACACCTCTATCGACTGAAATTGCAAAAGTTATAATACGACCGTGACAATTTTTTAAAATCTACTTAAAATTAAATTAAGGATGTGCTTTATTAATGTTTAAAAAAATTAGTACTTAATTAATTTTAAAATTTTATTAATTAAAATAAATTGAATATATATTACATTATATTTAAATAATTTAGATTAAAATTAAAATTGATTTCAAACCGGTTTTAATCCGGTTTGAAACCAATTATGTTTTTTAAATCAGTTTTTGTGATTAATGATTTAGTTTGTAAACCATAACCATAAAAGTGGATTAGATCACAATATATAGTAACCATGCACACCCTATTTTACATGGCGGTGTTCAACCAACCCCAAGATAAAGATAGAATATTGCCGAGGTCTCTAGATGGTTTTTTTTTATCAATACAAGCCCTTAGAAAGTGAAATCAAGAGTTTGAATCTCCTAGCTAATGTTAAATCTAGACTGCACCTAACAAATCATGATGAAAAGCAAACAATGATGAAAGTTTCCTTCTCGGTAACACCTTGCAAACCATCATGAAAGTTTCCTTCTCGTTATAGTTAGTATAGTAAGGCTAGGCAAGTTATGACAAATCAAAGTACCGTAATACCCTAAATGATGAACAATGAAGATTTGAAAGAGTTGGCATTTGATATGATCATATGACTCAACAAGTGGTAGAAAAGGAATGGCTTGATGAATGCAAAAATTTCCACTTAATATGTGATTTATGTGTGTTATGGTCACCTAGCTAGAAATTGTTGTAAGACCTTCAACAGTCGTGCCGGAAACAACCACTGTCAAATCGGCAGCTACTTTTACTCACGAGAAAAGATACAGAAAGAAAAGAAAGGGTAACCGGGAAAGTGTGAAAATATCATTGATCTAATAGCAATAATAGTACCAACAAGAACATAATTATGGTTTTTAAATCAGTGCTTCAAAATACTAAAAATGAGCTCAGTATTCAATGGCGGTTAACTGCAACCTCTAACCGGAAGATTTTGTACTGATTGTTATGGTTGTGCTTGTGCCAGAAGCAGAGCAGCACAAGTGCCGTGACACAATGACACAGAAATGACATTGTGTGTGGAATTTTATTCATATTTGTATGATTATTTAAAGATCATTGCAATTGGATAATCAGTTTCTAAAGAATCACTTCCTTAAGCTCTCAACTATGTAAGAAGCATAGAGGTCCCTGCAAAAGGGAAATATTCGTGTAAGAAAAATAATACTAAAATCATTCCATGCCCAAGGGAAAATTTAAATCATTGACGTTTAGTGCTGATAATCCAAAACTATATTCAGACAGTATGAAAAACGTAGAGATCACGGCATAGAAAAATAGCTTACATGGAGTACTTGATGGAGTCAATGGCAGACTCAGCTGGTAGAAAATCATCAACATCAACTTTTTTGTTCTCATTCTTCTTGTCTAGTGTGGCTAGCTAAGGATACGTGCATCAACTAGGGGTTCTGGTAATGATAGCATTGACAAAAAAAGGTTTCAAGTCTTTTAAAGTCATATTATAAAACAAATATTAAAATTGTCATTAAAACATAGGGGAGACACGACTCTTTGAAATCTAACAAATTAATCACTAATGGGTAAAATTGTCAACAACGATGTCCTGACATGCATATATGTATATGTACTAAGCCAAATGTTAACTGGTGCACTCATGGCAAATGGAATTGATTTGAACTTTAAAAATAACTATTTTTTGTACTACATGTAACTTTTTGAAATGATCAATAAAGTTAATGCTGTGTTTTAACTTTAAAAAAAATTCTTTTTCTTTAAACTTAACAAGTGCCTCAAGAACATTTGTTAGCTGGATCCATAAACTAAATGCAAATAGCAGGATACAGTCCTCAAAGAATCTTCTTATTTCAGCCAGCCGATGTGGAGGAAGCTCTTTAATGTCTGTGTAATGGCGGAACTCGGGGTCATCAGCACAAACTGCTATGATCTTGTCATCCTTCTCACCCTGCACCACAATTCATTATAAACAGTTTTCTTCTAAATGTTTACTCTGACTACCAAATTGTACCATATTGAAAACCAAATAACAGGTAAAAGGAGCAAAAGTTACAGTCCTAATGATACTATTATTTGATCCTTCTAATGGTGTTAGAGCATACATAATAATTTTCATTTTGTTGCTCCAAGATAATGAACACTCAGTCATTCATATTCATAACACCACCCCAGTGAAAATAGAACTATGGTTGGAAAAGTTAATGGTGATAAATTTAACCATGTAGAGCAATGTTTTGTCGTTTCAGTCATGGGACAACCACTTAGCCTTGATTTTCAATTCAATAAATAATTAAAAAGGCTAATGGGTAGCCTCACACAAGCTTCCGAAACACCCTCATACACAGTTCTTTTTCATTTAACCAAACGGAATAAAAACCAAAGGCAGGGAGGTAGGAAGCAACTTCTACCTGGTCAATCATGGGCATTAGTCCAATAGCACGAGCACGGAGGAAGGTACCAGGTAGCACAGGTTCCTGCTCAGAACATAATTTTTCGATTTTTGATTCAGTTAAAATTTTGATTAAAAGTGTAGACACATAATTCTGCTAAATATCACAGATAACAAGTTTCAAGTTTTGCTACCTGCATCAGAACCAGAACATCCATAGGATCACTGTCTTCACAAAGGGTTCGTGGGATGAAACCGTAGTTGTGTGGGTAGACAACTGATGAGTAAAGAACACGATCAACCTAGGGTATTTAGCTCATGTGTTAGCCATGCTTCAAATACAGATAAAAGACTCAACTATTGCATTATTATCTATGCATAACGAAACAGAAAATTATTCAAATTAAATCCTTCAGCACAATAACATGCAATGATAATCTATCGTCAAATAATCAAGGATGCTACAGTTAAAAGCGTTCAATACTAAACAACACACCTTTATAAGTCCACTTTTCTTGTCCAGCTCATACTTAACCTTACCGCCTTTGCCAATTTCAATCACCTGCCATGGAAATACATTTACTTCACTAACAAAACACGGATAGGAAACACGAGTTCAGCACAGCAAGTTATAAAACAGAAAACAAAAACTTACACAATTGAAAACTGCTGGAGCGCCCGGTCCTGCAATTATATTATAAAACCATTTGTGAGTTTTCACCAAAATGATCCTGCATCAATATCTATTTATCAATGTTAGATTTATCGAAACAACACAACAGTTTTGTACCTATCTCTACATCATGCCAAGGGTGAGCAGCAACAGTTCTCCTCGACATCGAAGAAAGTATTCGTTCATTGAGCTTAGGGTGAGACTTTGCCTCTTCATGGTTAGCCATATTAGCTTCACAAACAATTAAAATCACACGGATTTACTGCAGTTAAAACAATAATCAGAAGAATCCACTTAATTTATTTTCTTTGAATGATTGATTAATCTGCTAGTATGATGCATATCATTTAATTAGCGGTATAATTAGTAATATCAGAAACATAATTGAATTGGGCAATGATAATATAAAAAATAATGCGATTCCGTTCAAGTGTGGGTAACAAAGTAGAACTAAATCGAAAGAATCAAAGAGGAAAAAAACCAGAATCGGTTAAAATGGAAAAGCGATAATTTCAATGATGAAAAGCATGAGTGAAGAAATGACTTACAGAAAGGGAGTGAATGAGAGTTTGGCGAATTGGGGGAGAAAAACAAAGACGGGTCAAAAAGTGTTTAAGTTAGCGGCGAAAGGTTGAATATGAGTCGTGTGATTTTAGTATCGGACGGTTGTGAATGGAGATGGGAGGGATGTGTAGGTATATACCAAATATTCGGATATATCGGATAAATGTCGTCTCCCACTAGAAATTAAATATTGCACTAATTTATTAATTTATTCGAATTTCGAATGAGAAAACTTAGACATAGAAAACTAAAAAATTGACAATAGTTATCTACATCTAACCTATGAGGGAAAATTAGTTGCACCCTTTTCCAAGTATAATTGCGATTTTCATTTGTTTTTTCTCTCTCTTTTTAAATACATGGAAGACTGAAGAGTGTCTATTGGTCAATTCGGTTTGAATTAGTTTTTTTTAAAGGGTTTGAATCAATAATATTTTAATTGATTTGGTTTGTTTTAGATTTTAATATTTTTAAAAATAGAATTGAATTAAATTAAACGGTTTAATTCAGTTTGATTTGTTTCGGTTGATTGATTTTTAATTTTTTAAATATTATATTTATCAATGTATTCTTCACTATTCCATTTAATATTAATTAATAAAAATTAATTTTAATATGTTTCGTTAAAAAATGTGGTTGAGTTTAACTCAATTCTACAAAATCAACTTGTAAGGTGAAAATTGTCCCCATTTATAAGGACATGGTCATATCATATATTATCTGATGTTGGACTCTTAACACACTCTCTCACTCCGAGAACTAAACAACTGGAGCCTAGAAACAAATGGTGGGTGCCCTCACTGTCTGGACTAGACAACTAGAGCATGAAAACAAATGGTGTGCGGCGCGATATCGGAATGACTCTGATATCATGTTAATAAATGTGGTTGAGTTTAACTTAATCCTATAAAAGACATGTTCAGGTTATATATTATCTGATGGGATACTCTTAACATGGTCAATAGTTTGTGGGGTTTTGGTTATGAAAAGAGTATGATTTTTATGATTTTAATGAAAATTCATGTGACCACTAGAGATGATGCATCGTGGATTCACATTTGAAAGGGAGTTTTAGAATAATAATGTAAGTGTAGTAAGTGGAGAAATAGACTCATATTGAATAGGAATGAAAGAATTCATTCATCTATCACCTTAAAATTTTAGATGGATAAATAGTGTGTCTCTCACAAAGATATATAATTCTCAACTTTATATCAATATTCCTAATAATTCTCCCGATAAAGGTGTTACTAACTTTCATAGAGAACTACTATCACTTGGTTGGTTGCTATTTCTACGTATATTGTTGTTTTCTCAATATAAATGTAAATTTGTTTCCTGATTAGTTATGTTTGATTTATTCATTTAGTTTTTAAAATAAATTTATGCATAAATTAAAACGGATTTATATTATTTATTTATTTATTTTGTTAAAAATTGTGTATGAAAATTTATATATTATTACGTTTTAATTTTTCTCTCATACAATTTAATTATTATATCTAGTGATCTTTATAATTTGAATCAGTTTTAGATTAGCCACGGCATTCAAATTGGTTAAAAATTTTATTTTATTTTCTACCATCACATAAAAAATTAGATATGATATTGTAATTGATCATGTGTAATATGATTATTTTACAAGAATTTTTATTATAATTAGGATAAAATATCAAATTTATTATCGTAAATTATCCATAGTGAATCGGTACATAATTTAATAGTTTTGTTATAATGTATTAATTTTTGGATAGAAAAACAATTTATATAATTTTTTATGTTACAAGATTTATTTTATGATATATTTATGTTGATAATACATTCAATGCTTAAATGATCTTTTAGTCCAGTAAATTGATGCGTTTTTTATTTTAGTTTCTAAATCTTTTTTTAATCCAAATTCTTGTATGTTGAATTTTGTTTGCTTTTAGTCTCTAACATCAATTCATCGTTACAAAAAACTTACGTGACTAACATGATAGACTTACTTTTTTTTTATTTAATAAATTCCACATAGACTTTTTTTATTATTATTTTATTTTAATGTTAAATCATAAAAGAGAAAGCTTCAACATTTTGATGCTAAGAAGACTAAACCCAAGACCACATATTTATATAATTAATGATAAAATAGTTTATTTAATATTAATAATTGTAATATTACGTAAGTTATTAAATATTAATAATTTATGAAATATTTATATTTTAATTATTTTATTAAATATTAGACTATTTTATAAATTAATAGACTATTTTCCTAAATATTTAATAAACTAAATAGTTTAATTTATTTTAACTATTAATATTTCAACTATTTTGTTTATTAAATTATTATTTTAAAAAAAGTTTTAATTATTTAATATTTTAATATTTGGTTTATTTAAATAGTAATTAATAATTGAAATATTAAAAAAAGTAATTATTTAATTTAAACTATTTAGTGATATGAAAAAACTAAACTATTTAATAAATTATTTTTGCAACAATTTATTCAAATGAATGGTTGTCCTAGTGCATAGAGAGTGTTTTATTATTGCAAGGGACATGGGTTCAATCCCTCTTAAAACCAAAATTGTAAGCTTTGAATTTTAAGAGTTTAGACCCAAACAAAATTAAGAACATACATCCAAAAAAAAAATTTCCTTACCAGGATTATTGATATTAAAAGAAAGAAGAAAAAGGGCTTCCACGTCACCGAGATTGCCCACATCATTTTTTTAACGAAAGGTTAACGTGAGGAACTAACGCCAACAAGAAAGTAATATATAAGGACTTGAACAAAAAGAAGACTTAGAGACTAAAATAAAAAATTCGGCAACTTACAGTGATCAAAAGATTATTTAAGTCTACATACATTTTACATAATATTTTTATGCATCAAGATTTTGACAGAAATTTTTGTTTGTTTTTTTAGCTTCTCAACCTGCTAATTTTTATGATATCCGGTGTGATATTCCCGAGCTCAGAGGAGATAACTATAAGGTGTGGAAGGAAAGAGTTCTCCTCCATCTAGAATGGATGGACATAGATTATGTTATTAGGAAATATGAACTACCTGCAATTATAGATAAAAGTACTTCAGCTACAATCGCACTATATGAGTGGTGGGAGAGATCCAACCGACTCAGTGTGATGTTCATTAAGACTAAGGTCACAAGTGGAATACGTGGTTCTGTCGATCAACATGAGAATGAGTGATTTGCTGAAAAACATTGACGATCAGTTCTTCACTTCTGAAAAGGCTTTGGCAAGCACATTAATTATGAAATTTTCTTCCTACCGACTCACCAGTGTGAAAGGTGTGCATGAACACATAATGAAAATGTGTGACATTTTAAGTCAACTTAAGAAACTCGAGCTTAATATGTTTGAATCCTTCCTGGTGCACTATATTCTGAACTCTCTTCTGTCTAAGTATGGGTCTTTCAAGATTTCTTATAATACACATAAGGATAAATGGTCAATCAATACGTTGATGACCATGTGTGTTCAGGAAGAAGAAAGACTTGTAATGGAACAAAGTGAGTGTGCATTGCTGATAAGCACTCGCGAAAAGAACAGCTTTTCAAAACTGATAAGTCTCAAGCAAATCAGAAAGGAAAATTCAAAATACCACCGCAAGGTGATATCAAGAAAGAAGTAAAGTGTTACTTCTATTAGGAAAGATAAACTACCTGCAATTACAGATAAAAGTACTCCAACTGCAATCACACTATATGAGTGGTGGAAGAGATCTAACCAACTTGGTGTGATGTTCATTAAGACTAAGGTCATAAGTGGAATACATGGTTCTGTCGATCAACATGAGAATGTCAGTGATTTGCTGAAAGCCATTGACGATCAGTTCGTTATTTCTGAAAAGGCTTTGGCAAGCACATTAATTATGAAATTTTCTTCCTACCGACTCACCAGTGTGAAAGGTGTGCTTGAGCATATAATGAAAATACGTGACATTTCAACTCAACTTAAGAAACTTGAGCTTGATATGTTTAAATCCTTCCTGGTGCACTATATTCTGAGCTTTCTTCCGCCTGAGTATAGGTCTTTCAAGATTTCCTATAATACACATAAGGATAAATGGCCAATCAATGAGTTGACGACCATGTGTGTTCAGGAAGAAGAAAGACTTATAATAGAACATAGTGAGTGTGCATTGTTGATAAGCACTAGCGGGAAGAACAAATCTTCCAAAACTGATAAGTCTCAAGCAAATCAAAAAGGGAAATTCAAAGTACCACCGCAAGGTGATGTCAAGAAAGAAGCAAAGTGTTACTTCTATAAAAAGGGAGGACACGTGAAGAAGGAATGCCTTGGATTCAAAGAATGGCTTGAGAAGAAATGTATTTTATTTTCATTTGTTTGTTATGAATCTAATATGACATATGTTAATATTAACACTTGGTGGATTGATTCTGAATCAACAATCCATATGATAAATTCCTTACAAGGTATGCAAAACCTAATGAAGCCAGTTGGTAGTGAGCGGGTTGTCCTATCAGGAAGTAGAATGAGCTCACAGGTGGAAGCTATTGGAAATTGCAATTTAATTTTGAATAATGGTTTTGTTTTGAAATTAGAAAGGATCTTTTATGTACCAAGTTTCTCACGAAACTTAATTTCAATTTCTAGACTTGTACCTTTTGGATATTCCTTTAATTTTAA